CCTGGCCACGAGCGGGTGTAACTTCTGCTGAGGTTCCGTTTTCGTCGTGACTTTGATCATCCATCCTTCGATTCGTTCAGGCTCGACTTCACTTGAGTTGACGTTCAGGATTTGGTGGGTACGCCAGTCGATGACAGGGTTGCAACGAAAGAACCATGGTTTTCCCAATATGACGTCAAAGTCCTTCTTCCCGAGATCCCACTCGGTAAGTATAAGATCCGGGATCGTCCATTGACCAAAGCAAAGTGTGCCACATACTTCCTTCACTTTCTTGATGCCAGAGCAGTGTCCATCAAAGCCTTATGCTTGAACTTCCTTGGTGCGGATCACTGTCTTGGCCAAACCTGGGCGGCAAAGCAAGTTCGAGGCACCAGAGTCGATCAGGATGCGAACGCTTGTACTGTCGAGTGCGCCATGAACTATCATCAACTTATTTTCTTGCGCTGGCACTGCTTGCTGGGTGGTATTGATGTTAAGCGACTCCTCCTCCGCGGAGTCTTGCTGGGCTAGGCCCATGTTGCTGCCTAGGATCACTTCTTCTACGTCATCTTCGCTGTCTTCTGTGTCGCTGCTGACTACGGTTACTTGAGCATTGTGCTGACGACTTGGTGTATTGCGCTGGGGTCGCTGAGGCCGGTTGGCATGTCTTGAGATGTTGTTGCGCTGGGGTTGAGCTTGGCTTCTTCCTTGATTGTTCCGGGGTGGAGAGCGGCAGTCACTGATTCTGTGGCCCATGCGTCCGCAGTTGTAACAGGGGCCTACTTGGCGTTGTCCACAGTGTTGTACTTGGGCGTTGTCTACTTCCATGTCGTTATCTTGGCGCTGGCGTGGAGGTTACGCATGTGGTCGGCGACTTCCTTGGTGTCGGTTGTTGAACTGGTGGCGGCGATCTTGAAATCCTTCATGCGGGCGGCTATCGTGGCGATGAAAGCGGTCGCGGTCACTGGCGTGACCACCATTAAGGGTCGAGTTGTGGGAGCGTTCATAGTCCAGGGCAACTTGGATCGCGAGAGTCACAGTCTCACAACGACGATACTGCAACTCCTCACGAGTTCTTGTTCGCAGACCGCGTTGGAACCAGGACACCTTGTCGCGATCAGTCATGTCGCACCCTTGCGTACAGATTCGTCGGAACTTGGCAACATACTCCGTCAAGCTCGCACACTGGGCTTGCTTCAATTCGTAAAGCTGGTCACGCAGCCGATCTTGCAAATCGTCGGGTTCAAACTCGGCTCGCAGCTCTTCTTCCAGTTCGATTAGGGTGTTTGGAGACTCACCGCGCGAAAGCCGTTCTTGGTACCAGGCTGCGGCAAGGCCACGGAAATTTGCCACCATCATGGCAATGCATCGCTGTTGAGTCCCATCGTTTTCTTGGTAATCCACGTTCTTTGCCTTGAAAAAGGTCGTAACTTGGTGGATGTATAGGCTAATACTTTCGTCCATTCGTCCATAATACTTCGGCATCTTAAGTCCTTCCACTCTAACTTCTGTTTGTCGTGTCGCTCGTTCGATGTTTTGACTGGCCATTCGCTCGCTCGCTTCCACTTGAGCGGCTTGGGTACGGGTAAGCATTTCTAACAGCTGTTCATGTGGGTTAAAAATCAGAAACTTCATCTAAATTAACCGAAATAATTATTTCATCTACTTGAGATCTCATTTATCGCTTAAAGGGCAAACAAGTTTGCATTTCTCCGACAGCAAGTTCAAACAGGGAGAGTTGCTTCTAGTAGATGGCAACCAAGCATA